GGGTTTCTCTGTGTAGCTTTGGCACCCTTCCTGGAACTCACTCTGTAGCCCAGGCTGGCCTCGAACTAACAGAGGTCTGCCTGGCCCCGCCTCCCGAGTACTGGGATTAAAGACTTGTGCCACCACTGCCTGGCCATAAAACTTTTTGAAAGGGAAATAAAATATAAGGTAAAAATGCTACCTGACAGGCAAAAAAGAATGGCTGGAGAGATGGCCCAAGGGTTAAGAGATTAGCTGCTCTTGCAGAGGACCTGGGTTCAGTTCCCAGCACCCACCGTCCGGTGACTCACAATTGTCTGTACTCTAGCGTCAGGGAATCTGACACCTCTGGCCTTCTCAGGCACCTGTACTCACAGACAGACAGACAGACAGACAGACAGACAGACAGACACACACACACACACACACACACACACACACACTGTCTCTTCAAAAAGTAGAGGAAGACTGAGTATTTACTCTGCTTCTGCTTGTGAGAGTCACAACATCTGTGTAGCTCCAACTTCTCCCAATAAAGTAAGTTTCGTGCAAGTTTCTGAATGTTCTGCAGGACTCAAGCTACTGGGCCTGAGATTCCCTTGTTACGAAGTAAGTGGCAGGAGTGAAGATCCAAGGGAAAATGGAAAGTGATCATGGGAGTGGGCAGGACAGAACGGTTTGTTAGAAGTCTGACATCCCGGCTAGCCAAAAATCATTTTAAAACCCAACTGTTAGAGATGGAAAAATGAATGTCAACAGGAACATCACAGAGGAGGGCAATCAACACAAGAATATACTCAACACCACATGTTTTTAGAGAAAGAGAAACTAAACTACAATGAGTATGCCTGTACCCCCCAAAGGGATTACAAAAGTCAGGACATAGCAAGCGTTAGCAAGGACACTCGGGACACGTGGGACACTCAGGACTCCCAGGAAGTGTAAGATGAGACAATCCCTTTAGAAGTTTAGTACCAGAGGCCCCTGCACCTCCGGCCCTGGTGGTGTAGGTGTGGGAGAGCCAGCCTGAGGGCATGAGAGCAGGAGAACGGGTCCACCCCCTGCTCCTAGCTGCATGAATTAGCTGAGGCAACCCTGGAGAGCTCACCCTGGTGGTGGGATGGGGAGAGCTGGTGGGCTGACCAACCCAGCAACTACCCAGGTCCAGAAGCAGGGCTATGAGTTGGCCCACCCCAACATCCATCCCATCTATGATGTGCTGGAGCATGTGAAGGGGAAGGTCCTGCAAATCCAAAGCTGCAGAATATCCACAACACAGGGCAACAACAGGATATCCAGGAGGAGTCCCAGTGAGGGCCCAGCATTGAGGGGGTAGCAGGAACCAGAGGCCTTGAACCAGACCAATGACTCTTTAAAATGAACACTTGCAAGTGAAGATATATGGATAAAAGGGTAAACTGTGTAACTGTGTCACACTACAGCTTCCACAACAAGGTTTTTCTTTTTCCTTTCTCTTAAATTTTATTTTATTTTGGGGGAAGTTTGCAAGGGCAAAGGGTTGATACGAAGGGATGAGGAAGTGAATGGGATTGAGATGCATGATGTGAAAGACACAGGGAATAAATAAAAAGATAGTTAAAAAAAAGTTTAGTACTTATATGCCCTGTGACCCAGTAATCCTTAGGTACCCACACAAACAAAGATGTGCACCTAGGCACATCAGAAGACACAAACGAAAGTGTTCATTACTCATGATAACCAAACTAGAAGTCACTTAAGTAACTATTGATAGTAGATGAATAAATGAAATAGGTGTATTCAGGAATGGAATACTATGTAGCAAGAACATAAATTATAATTACATTCATCAAACACATTACAGAGAAGAATCTGTATGCACTGCACAATTACCATTATACAAAGTTAAAAAAACAGATAAAATTAATCCAGGGTGTTAGAATTCAGGATAGAAGTGGACCTATGGAGAGAGTGTGCCTAGAAGAGGGGTGCTCAGGGTGTTAATAATATCGGGTGCTAGATACATAAAGTACATGTTGTGAGAATCCATCTGAGCAGTTAGGATGTGGATAGGATTCCCATAAGCGCGTTACTCTTCACAAAGAAGGCAGGAAGACGAAAGGCCAGTTGCCTGGACAAGAGAACAAGAACTCTCAGAGCAAAACATGTGACTGTCACACCCATTGATCAGTGATCACAAGGGCTGTCAGCTGAAGGGCAGGCAGTGAGCTGCAGGGCCTCGAAAGTTCTCCTAGAACCCAGAAGAGACACAAGAAGAGAATAAAAAAGACAGCAGACATTGGGTGCATCCAGGAATCAGTAGACACATGAACAGACACCTGAGAGGCAGTAACTTAATAGAATTTTAAAAAATTCTCCTTTGGGAAAAGCATAAACACCACAATTAGCAATTTCACTTGTGAAAGTTTCTATGCGGTTGTTCATAGCACGAACCACTGAGCAGAAAACCACTCATTGAACCACTGAGCAGAAAACCTTGAAAATGGATATCTGACAGGGGACCATGTAGCCATATTATGCCACAATTACAAGCAATGGTATGTCTGTAACTCATTAAAAAAAAAAAAACAACCCACACGGCTCTGAATGTCTGGTAAAAAAGTTGATTTCCAAGACATGGCAATATATTAAAAAACAATATCCAGACTGTGTATGTGTACTGTGTTTAAAAGATGGAGGGAAAATAGAAAGGGGAGTGAACTCAGGCCCATCCACTCCTTCTAGAGTTTTGGTGTCCTGCATAGGAAAATCTCTACATCAGCTGAGTGCTGGGATGACGATGCAGGTGGAAGTGTCCACTGTGTCCTGTGGCTGGCCACAGATCAAATTCGGGCATACTACAGGTACTGCATTAGGCTGCCCTAGGGCCGTGAGTACAACCTGCTTAAGAAACACAGGTACCGAGTCATGGAGACCCCACAGTTATCGGTCCACAGAGACAGTCCCTTCACAGGCTCCAGCAGGTCCTAGCTGGGGTAGATGTCAGGGTGGGCCAACCCCAGGCTGTGGGCCTGGGTAGTTGAGCTCATAAGTCCAGGCTGTCCTGTTCAGGCGAGGGGTGGAGCCAGCTTCCCTACGCCTATGCCCTCGGGGTCAGCTCCCTGCTGCCTGTAGTGGAAGAGTTCTGATGAGGATGCAGTGATGATGGTGTACCAGAAACCAGAGGCCTTGAACCAGACCAGTGACTCAGGGCAATGAACATCAGCAGGTACAGGGGACTGGACAAAAGGGTAGACTGTGGGACACACTGAGGCTCCCACGGCCACCAGGACAGATGGAGAGAGGCGGGAAAGATGGAGGAGCGTAGAGATTTTCTTTGTTGTTTTGTTTTTTGCTCTTTTTCTTTTTGTTTTGGTTTGATTTTCAAAAAAAATTTTATGGGGGGGGCACTGCAGTGGGAAAGGAAGATATGGAGAGTCTGGGAGGTGAGTGGAATTGGGGTGCAGGATATAAAATTCCCAAAGATTCAATAAAGAAATTATGCTAAAAAAAAAAAGGTGGACTAGGTGGTGGTGGCACACACCTTTAATCTCAACACTTGGGAGGCAGAGGCAGGTGGATCTCTGAGTTCGAGACCAGCCTTGTCTATAGATCAAGTTTCTCCACAGCCAGAGCTACATTGAGGGAAAAAAAAAAAAAAACTGTCTCAAAAAAAAACAAAACAAAACAAAACAAAAAACAACAACAAAAAAAGACAAACATACTCAGTGTGCAGGGTCAGCTCCCCTGCCCCAGGCAGTGTGGAGGTTAAGAAGGGGCAGAGAAGACAGGAAAGCCAGGGGCTGGGGCTGGAGGCGGTGAGAGGGGGTGAGGGGTAGAGGGATTGGGGTAGGAGACGGAGTTTGTCTCAGCAGTGCCGGGAGACTGAGCTGAGCGCCTGCTCAGGAGAGAAGGATGTCTCCGGAGAAAGGTGAGTGAGGCTCCATCTGTGGCTCCCCAAACTCAATGAAGGAATGAGAGGTGCTTAGGAGTTGACAACAGCAAGAAGGGGCTGAGAAAGGTGGGCAAGGTGGCGCACACCTTTAATCTCAGCACTTGGGAGGCAGAGGCAGGTGGATCTCTGTGAGTTCAAGGCCAGCCTGGTCTACACAGTCAGTTCCAGGCCAACCAGGGCTACACAGTGAGCCTGTCTCAAAAATGAATGAATAAATAAATAAACAAATAAATAAAGTAAAATAAGGAGCTGAGAAGAGCCCAAGCAAGGAGAAAATGATCCACAGGCTGACAGGTCACACTGGGAGACCTAGAGAGCTGAGCAGCCTGGCTCAGCCACAGTCCAACTCATGGATTTTAGAAAGCATCTAATAGCTGGGTGGTGGAGACACACACCTTTAATCCCAGCACTTTGGAGGCAGAGGCAGGTAGATATCTGAACTTGAAACCAGCATGGTCTACAGTGTAAGTTCCAGGACAGCCAGGGCTACAAAGAGAAACCCTGTCTCAAAAAACCAAAAAATAAATAAATAAATAATAGAAAGCATTTAAGAAATATGGGATTCCCTCAACCTTCAATAGTGAGATAGACAGGCTTCCAAGTGTTAAGTAGGATCTTTTTAATGAATTAACGAGAGTGGATGTTTTTGTTGGACCTTAGTTGAACTCTAGGACTTCAAGCCCTTGTTTCTACAGATCACTGCGTAGCCTACAAACCCGAGAGCAGAGGAGGACAGCAAGGACAGAATGAAGGGCAG